TATAGTTCAAGCTTCCCCGTATTTGAGACAAACCATGAACTCTTATTAGCAATCAGAAGGGCACATGGACCGACAACTATAAAAACTAAAAAGCAGTAAAAAAAATTTTTTGTAGTTGTTCAAGCTTCCACCAACCCAGATGTTCAAGGCATTTGTTCTTGACTCTGACAACCTCATCCCAAAAATTTTGCCACAGGCTATCAAGAGTGTTGTTACCCTGGAGGGAGATGGAGGGGCTGGAACCATCAAGCAAGTTAACTTTGGCGAAGGCTAGTTCACTTTTCCTTTCCCAACAATTTTTTTTTTTTACTAAGAACAGAATTAACATTGTTGAAACAAGTTTTTGGTGTGTATTTCCTGCAGGCAGCCAGTTCAAATACACGAAGCAGAGGATCGATGGCATTGACCAAGAAAAATTCACCTACCGCTACACTGTGATCGAGGGTGATGCTTTGATGGAGACACTGGAAAAAATCTCCAACGAGATCAAATTCGAGGCAGCATCTGATGGAGGGTCTGTGTGCAAGAGCAGCAGCAGTTACTACACCATTGGTGACATCAATATCAAGGAAGAGGAAATAAAGGCTGGAAAAGAGAAGGCATCGGGGATGTTCAAAGCAATCGAAGCTTACCTCTTGGCAAACCCTGATGCCTATAATTAGAATGCATTGTGTTTGTGTATGGTTGAATGATTGTCCTTTGTTTAGCATGGTTTTCCATGAGGGTATAGGTGCCTAATAAGAGCTTCTCAGTGTGATATCTAAGGATTTCTTGCAATGTTCATCAGGAATTAATATTAAATTTGGTTATAACGCTTTTACAATATTTGATGATATATATATATATGGTTTTCTTTTTCATTTTCACCATGCAAAGAATAAACAGTGACATCTTTGGGTCTCAACCTTCAACAGTCTATAGATGTTGACCCGATAAAACCCTTTTTTTTTTTTTTAATTTCATTGTATATAACTCAACTGCTATGACTTTTGGTGTTTCGAGCAAATACCCACAGATTCCAGGCATTGCTTTTCAACAATTTCACAATAATTATTATTAAATGAGTCAATTTTTGGGTACATAAAATATGAAGAAGTCCACTTATGCGGAAGTATTATTATATTAATAATGTATTTTATTTTGAAAAATGAGTTTTATTCTTCTACCACCGACAATGTCTAGACAAGTTTTTTACTTGATTGACAGAAGACTTTTGTGGTATACAGCACCCCGTGAGGGTAAATTTACTATACAATTGCCAAAGTTACACTGCACGTCAAACAAAGGCAGCAAGCAAAATCAGTAAAGCACTACAAAGGTCAACCAAAAACAAAGGATCCTACAAAGGAATTCACAAGAAAAAGCCTATGAGAAGCAGATCTCTTGACAAGCCCCTGTTTTTGGACGAGACGCAAGAGAACTCAGTAGCACAGAGCTGAAGCAAAAATCTCCCATCCGATGAAAGGTGAAGCAGCAAAACGAGCAAACCAAAGAGTCAGAAAACCAGAACATAAAACATCCTTCATCTGTTGATCAATTCACACACCTTTGCGCATACCAACTCACAAGAGAACAAACACCTTCAACACATTTCAGCCATCCTGGAAGCCTGTGGCTCTGATCATCATTGATTTGTCGTGGTTCCCTAAGAACACCTTGGAACACTTCAACCAGCAACATGAGGGGCATTCACACAATCCCACATAAAAGGTCTTCGAACATGAAGAAAGAGCTGACGCATGAAGCTCCTTTGAAATCCAACTTCCAGAATCGAAGACTCCACAAAAACAAGGCACGCTATCCAAAACAAACCTGCAAGACACCAGCAAAAAGACCTCATTGCATGAAAGGACATAGCCCTGCATTGGCGAACCATTGAAAACACACACAGCTGGGTAGCATCAAAACGAAACAAAAAGCAGAAAAACATAGTGGCATGAAGATAAAGATAAGGATGAATCCTCATCTTCACCTCTTCACCCCTTCACCCACCCCAAACGTACCAGCCTTCCAAGATTGAAACCTCCAACCCCACCCCTTCACCTTTTCCTCTCTCCCACATACATTCAAAAAAGAAGAGAAGCCCTTCCAATTTCTTCTTTTCCCCTGAAACGTTTGTTCATTTTCCTTTTCTCTTTTCTATATTTTTCCTTTTTTTCTTTATTCTTTATATTTATAATGTTAGCAAATAACCCCTAGCTGTTTAATGTTAAGTGGGACAACTACCCCCACAAGTCAATACGTATCTTCTATAATTTGAACATAATGACAATGCTTTTGTGTTAAATAAAAGCAGAGACTTGGGATCTGTTAACATCAATCTTCCTATGAAAATTATGTGAATTTTCAACATACAAAGTAAAATGAATGCCAATATTGCAGGTTAACCCAAATTTTTTGCAAGTAAAACATTGACATGTTTGTTGTTTCATATATCAAAGATTATACAACTCAAACTTTTTAAATTATAATGAAATACAAATGATCACACTCAGGGACCAACTTTATTTAACCAATCAAGGGAATATAAAAATTAAATCACACCATTAAAAACTGATGACATGAAGAACAGCAAGCAGGAGCTGAAAGGAAATTTAGTTGTAGGCATCAGGATTTGCCAAGAGGTAAGCTTCAACAGCCTTGTACATTCCCAAGGCCCTTGCTTTGCCTGCCTTAATTTGCTCTTCCTTGATCTCAATGTCACCAATGGTATAATACTTGCTGGTGCTCTTGCAAACTGATCCTCCATCTGGGCCTGCAACAAACTTGGTCTCGTAACTGATCTTCTCGAGTGTGTTCATCAAAGCATCACCTTCGATCACACTGTAGCTGTATGAGAAATTCTCTTTGTCTATTCCTTCGATCTTGTGCTTCACATACTTGAATTGGCTGCCTGCATTTGTTGCCAAGCAATTCAATAAAGCATTTATTACTTCGAGTAATTTACTTTGAAGTAGTTGCAAGAAATGAAAACTGAGGTAATTATGATGCAAACTAACCTTCACCAAAAGTAATCTTCTTGATACTTCCAGGCCCACCATCTCCTTCAAGGAGCTCAGAGCTCTTGATTGCCTGTGGCACAACCTTGGGGATAAGATTATCAGCATCAAGAACAAAGGCCTTGAACATCTTGGCTGGGGGAATTGAGGTAGCAACCTCCATTTCATAAGTGACAACACCCATGATGCTAAACTAGGAGTTTGGAAATGTTCAAATCAAGGAAGAAAAACAGGGAGAGAAAGGGGGAGGATTAACTCAGTGATTGAGGTGTGGGAAGAATTAAGAAGTAAGATGATATTTATAGACGGAGCTTTGAAGCTCAACAATTCAATTTCTTCAATTTTTAATTGGAAAAAAATCCAATTATGAATAGGAAACAGTTTACTTTTCAAAGAATTTGCACTAGTCAAAGAACGCACCCTATATGCGAAGAATAATTATCAAAATAAATCTCCAATGGATCATTTTAAATGTGGTACCGACCTCTGCCATATATTTGCTTGAGATTTATTGAAAAATGCTTACATGTATGCAGAGAGAATATCATAGCAAGGAAAGCTTCAGATTTGGACAATTAATAAAAGCTTAGCAAAGAGTACTTTTTCTGCACACACTTGCAGTGACCAAATAAACAATCAGCATATGATATTAATCGGTTTAGACATCTAGAAGGGAGAAAGGTAGGATCATGAAACACTTCCATTTGACCATTTCGTTATAAATGGTGCCCATGGGGCCTTTTGGCAGCAAAACAGGCTGCAGCATTTCAATATAATTAAGAGCAAAGAAAGATAGTTACTTGGACTATCTAAAGATGATTTGCTTCAGTTACTGTTTTTGCTATATTTAAGGAATGAAGTAAAATATGTGAATTTACAGGGCTAATGGAGCTTTGTCTTACTGCGACAGGTGTAATATTCTTGTCTTACCAAATCCTTAGTTTTGATTTCTTTCATTAGCTAGAAATCCCCTTAATTAGTTTTAAATGTATTGTTTTTATTAAATCTATAGTTTGGTGACTTGTTGACTTTCAGAATCTCAAAATTAAATATCTTAAATTTGGATACTTCTTGTTATGTAATTAAGAGTCAGACCAGCACATTTATACTTTAAACAAATCAATAATTTCTACGAAATAGTTGGTAAATATTCTTTAAAAGCAATAATTATGATTAATTGTAAAATTAGAGTGAGAAATCAAATCAAATTGAATCTAAAAAATAAAAAATAAAAAATAATTATATTATTATTTATAAAAATATTGAGTACATGTATAGATGTAATTTAAATAAAAAAAATCAAGAAGATTGACTTCATCTCATCAAGCTGTTCTTCTTCTTTTGTTGTGATCAGATAAGAGAGTCTCCCAAGCTTGACGGACGATCTTGAAAGCACTCTCAGTCGCTATCGAATCATTCTTGTTAGGATGGATGGACCAATAGCGCCACTTCTTTATAATGTTTCTTAATCGTTGCCAGATCAACGGAAGAATAATCTTCGATAAAAAGAATTGAATATAGGACTTCAGTATCATCTATTTTCATTTTTTGGCAAAGGCTTAGCATCGAATTAAACTTGTGAACAAGATAAGCTACAATATATTTCTGGACAATTCGTAACTCAGGGTTCAAATCAAGTGCTGCGAACCCTTGTTGGAT